CTAGTGGCAGCATTACTACTACCACCATCCCCAGGACAGAGACCGATACTACAGGAACTACTACGGTTACCAAGGGTATCGGTGAAGCCCCTGCCATTGTCGCCTGTCAGCCATGAAGCTGAATCTCTGGGGGTGCCAAGCACCCCCCAAAACACAACCAAGGAAAACAGGGGCTGCCGGGGTGGGGCTGAGCTGCCGGGGAGGGGCGGTGGGGGGAGGGTGCGCAAGCAGGGGGGGGAGGGGGGTGGAAACAAACAACAAAACTGTACATTTTTTTTTAAAGTTTGTTGAAAAGAATATTGTCTTATTCTATAAAACATTTCAAACCTAGTTAGATATTTGTAATCAAAAAACCATTTGCTCAGAAAGCAGCACTTAGGGCTGCCTGTCCTATACCCTGCAGTCAGACAGGAAAAGAACTGAAAATGTCACCCTTCTGACATTCTGAGGCAGCTGGACTGGCAGCCGAGTAAGGGAGAGTGATGGCGAGGTAGTGCGGAGAGGGTGGGGAGGCGTGTGAGGGCACTCTCCATACAGGCAGGAGCGGGGACAGAGGGAGAGCTTGTGACTGGGGCAGTGAAAATAAACGATCAGCTCTTATCAATCACTTGCACCAACTAACCGTTTGTATTTTCTTTACCGACCTTTCCCTCTTGGGATATCTGGTCCGGTGGGCTGGGAGGCCATAGTGTCCCTGTGTCCACGTTCCTGTGCCTTTGTGCTGTCTGGCTGAGGCATGGAGACTACCAGTTGGGCGGTTCTGTTACATAGGATCCCCACGCCAAGGAGGCATGGGGACTGTTCCTGATTGCAGGGCAGAACAGCTTGCAGCCTCTCTGTATCTGTTAATGGATTTCCATAAAATCCGGGGGAAGAGTTGGGGTTGCAGCCCTCAGCCTGAAGACTGTGATTTGCCAGTCTCTACTCTCTGTCTTCCAAGGTTGAGAGACAGGTGGGAAGTCTCTGAAATCATCTCTATTAGAGAATCTGTCCTCTTATAGTTCAAGAGAAGGAACGTTTCTCAGGGTTTCAGCTCACACAGAAACGAAGCAGGATTCTTTTCACTGCAGCAGGATATGTATATAGGCGAATCCTGTGGTGTGGGTACCAGGCCCAGGCGCTGAGAATAGCAGCTATTTTCTACAGTGTGGAGGGCCGGGGCCCTGCTGGCTTTTTTGATACACAGATAGAGTGAATAGAAGAGGGGAGGGTGGGGGGTGGGAGGCAGCTCCGTGGGGCTGCTGGAACTTGGGAAGAGCATGAATGTGAGCGTGTGCAGCGTGTGCATGAAAGAGAGCACCCCTTCCCGACTTGCTGAAACAGGATTCCTCCTGGGGTGCCTTCCCTGTGTGTCCCAGAGAGGCCTCTAGCCAAGAGATTTCAGTCGGGAGAGTTATTGTTTTGTAACTTTACCAGCACCCTCCCAGTTCTTGACAGACAGCTTCAGGTTGCGGGTTCAAGAATACGGGTGGATTATGGGAATGCTCTTTCAATACTGAGCTTCAGTTTTCATTCACCTTCCTGCTCAGCATTGTGTCAGCCAAGAGCTTACTCAGCGAACACCACACATTGCTGCACTTCCTGGCGAGGGGAGCCCTGGGTTGTGCTACTAGAAGGTACTTCACTTCCATTTCCTTACCTGGGCAGTCCTCTATTGAAAATTTTGTGCTGAGATTTGACCTCTCTCCCCCTCTCCCACGGTTACTGCCGTGCCCAGGAGGGTGCACAGGCCCTCGTCCTGGCCCTCTAGTCGCCCTTCTGCTCCACAAGGACCTCTGACCCGGAGGCTGGAATGGGGGGCTGGTAGGCAATACGTTTGCTTGCTCAAAATGATGTCCTTTCTCTGGGCACCTGCTTTTTCTGTGGTGCCATCAAATGGATTTGTGTGTGGCAGTGGGTGAAGTGATTGCATGAATTTTTCTGTAACCCACTAACTTTTTATTATCATTAAGGGGAGTTTTTGAGACAGTTTTGCTCATAATGTCAGGGAGGTAAAAAGGAGGAGGTAGAAACTGGAGCCCAAACAGATTCCCTTAGGGCAAGATTATGTTATAACAGAAAATTGACTCTGAGGCAGAAGCTGCCACCCCTATTCAAATGTTTAGTTCTCCAGCAAATAGCATCTTTTTATAGTCTACAACACGGTTCGGGGATGCTAGGCCCTCAGGACCAGGGGGACAAAGCTTAAGCCGCTTTGGGTTTTTTTGGGGGGAGGGGAGGTACTTGCTGTTAATTTTTGACACTAGAAAGTCGTTTTTTTTAAAAAAAGCTTTTTCTAGGTGGGTGGAGAGTGAAACTGCCACGTCCTTGTCGGTTTAGTCCAAGAGATCACTCGCAACAACAGTAGATGTCTGGGTTTTGTTTCTGTCTTTTTTTATTATGAAAAAACAATGTTAAGGGGGAAAATGTGGATTAACAGGCAGGATCCCTACCCTTGTTTTCCTGAGAAGACTTGTTTAGTGTTTTATCAGACGTCTGTTGTAGTTGTAGATGGAAAAGCTTGTGAGAAAAACAAACACCACATGGAGCCTGTAAATGTTATTGCACAACCTGTAAAGCATTCTTGGAAGTGGCCAGTAAAAAAGGGTTTTACCATTTAAAAAAAATGTAACTGTGTCATTGTTTACATCTGTAACTTTTTCCTCCCTTGTTCTCATTACAACATTATGGCAAAAATGTAGGCACGGTAGCTTCCAGTTTTAGAATAAATAACCATTTGGATTGAATTCACCCTCTCTCCTGTCGCTGCACTGACTGGGTAGAGTGTGTCATTGGGGGCTTTATTTCTGATGCTGCTCCTCAAGTTGTACTGGGTTCCAACCAAGGTTGGCTTTCCTCTTTCATGGCTTTTCTCCCTTCCTATTCTGCCATGCTTTCACTTGGGAAGCAGCCACACCTTCACTCGGGGTCACTCGGGGTTTGTTGGCTTACTTAAGTGCTTGCTTTTTTACTAAGAGCTTGAGCCGTTGGAGTAGAAGAAAATAAATGATAACTCATGACCTCTGTGTATTTGGCCTATACTAAAACCAGTTGGATGCTTGAAGTTAAATGTAGGGTTCCATTTAGGAGCCAGATTAAGTTTATTCGTAATTACCACTTAAGAGGAAAAGCCTACTTATTCAACAGAAGATGTTTGATGGAGATTCTTTCCTAGTGACTATGTAGAATGAGAAGGTAACTTTGACAAAAGCACTACTGCATTACTAGCATCGAACTGGTATTGATTGTAACTTCTGATAAATGATCAAGGACTTATTAAGGCTGGGCTCCCACAGGCTTATGACATCTAGTGTTTTGAAGTAGTGGTGATACAGGTATAGTTACTGCTCTAACTCCTCCCTCTGTACATGATAGAGATTCCCACCCCAGGGGCTTACAGCTTTGGGCCCAAAGGCTATCCTTGATTTCAGTGTCTGCCCATTCTCTAGGGTATTTAAAGTTACTCAGTGTTACAGCTAATAATTTAAAATGGTTATTTATAGCTCATGCCTTGTCTGTAGTAACCTCTAGACCCCCCCCCTTTGCCCCCAGCTAGGGCTGCAGCCATTCACCCCTAATCTGATGAGTATGAAAATTGAATGTGTAGAAAAATTGAGCAGAGGTTGCTTTTTTTGTTTAATAACCTAATTATCAAGATTACATTTATTGAGCACTTCTGACTTCTTACCAAGTCTGAGCTGATGTGGGCATTTTCACTTACCCCTCTGGAATTTGCCCAACACTGTAATACCTTAGGAAAAGAGAAAGATTCTTTTAGTGCCTTCTATGCCCTGCTTGCCATTTAAGCATGTATAGTACAATCGTTGGATATCTGAATGCCTGTCATAGGCCAGACACTGACAGGATGCAGGGATTAAACAGACTTGATCCTTAGAGGAGTTTTCAACGGGCACTAAGAACTAAGCAGGCTCCTGAACAGAATGGGGGTAGGTCCCCACTTCAGGAGGGCAGCCAGGTTACTTTCCTTGGTTTCTTCCTCTCTAGGATGAGGGAATTAAATATCTCCAGGGCCTATTAGGGCTCAGGAATTCATCAACAGCGGGGAAGCTGCTATTCCTGAAGGTGCCTCAAGTTCACTGGGTACTCCTGGAGCCTGTGGAGACGTCCATAGGAAACTTAAGTTCAGTTCCTGGTAGAACCCCCTTTATTCCTTTGGTTTCCTCTTTGTCCCCCTCCCCTGCTGTCTTCCTGTGTGAAGGTGTGGGGAAGCTGGGGGGCGATGTGCTGTCTCTAATATAGGTCACCCCCTTCTGCAAGGCAGCCTCTGGCAGCCGACCCTACCCACAAGTGTATCCCAGGACAAAGCATGACCCAGGCTTGCCCCGGGAAGCATGTGTCACTGGGTAGGGGGTGGGGAATCTTGACAACCCATGAGAAGCAGACATCCTGAGACTTACTTTCTCTGCCTTGGCCCTGGTCCCACCTCCGTATGTGTCTTTCTTTCCCTTGGAAGGTAACGGCTTCTGGAAAGGTATGCTGGGGCTTTATAAACCTCCGCCAAGTTTGAGTCCGGGAGGCGCTCGTGAGACAAACCTCTGGCCGGGCAGCTTGCAGGACCACTACTAGGGGTGGTAGGCGCACCAGGGGCGGGGACACTGCTCCTGGCGGATGTGACAGAAGGGGCCTGAATGGGAAGTGGGAGAATAGCAAGCCCCAGTTCTAACAGGAAGCCCAAACTGAACAACTAAGGGCTTATCCAACTCCTAGGGAGAACAGGAAGCGACCAAGGAACAGCGCCCCGAGCCGAACGGTGCCGGGCATTGTCCTCACACTTCTGTTTCCGCTCCAAGGGAGTCTCTACTAGGCAAGATAACAGAGACCTAGATTCTCTCATAAGTTCCACGCGACCGGCGCCTACTGCTGGCGTGCTTGCTGGGACCCCGTTGTCCCATGATCCTTGGCTATAGTCGCCAGTGCGCCTTCACCTGGATCGGGTGGACGTCGGCTTCCGGCCTCCGGGGTGGGTAGGAGTGGGTATCGAGTTGACGAGGGAAGGAGCAGCCATTTTGAGACAGATGAGCACGGAAGGGACCATATTGAGAACTCTGGATGCCTGGGGCCGCCATTTTAAGTATGGGCCCAGCCGAGAAGCCCTGTACGGTGAAACGCTGTGACATGCGGCGGCCATATTGGTGCGGATCCCCTTGGCGGCGGCCATCTTGAACGGAGACCTGCTGTGGGCGTCGCCATCTTAGAAGTAAAACGGCCTCTTCCCAGGAACTGGAACCAAGCTCCTCCCTTCTCACTGGGTACCTCCTGTCTGCGACTGCCCTTCGGAAGCTCTCCCTAAGTCCACCCCGTTAGGTCTGTTTTCATTTTCACTTGTCTTCATTGCACTCGTGTGTGTGTGTGTGTGTGTGTGTGTGCTCTCCGTAGCCTCTGAGTGTCTGTCTGTAACTTAATTCTTCCACTTGAGACGTTCTCTCATGCCCGCCATCTACCCTAACCCGGTGGATCTCCGATCCTAGACAATGTCTAACCCGCTTTGACTGGCCCTGTTCCCTGGTTATGGCAAGCTTTTCCACCTGCCGCATCCACACCCAAATCTATTGACTGATGATCCTATCCCCCAAGAACGGTAACACAGGAACTGTCCTCTGAGACTCTGGATGACTTTATTCTTCAAATGGCTTTACACTTCCAATAGTTCCAGGTGAGACTGAGAGCAAGCACCCAGCCCATCCCTCTCTCCATTGTCTGAGCGGGTCACAGAGGGAAGCGGGCAGGACGCTGGCGCAGAGTCTGACAGCCCTTCTGTGGGTGGAGCTAAGGGTACCCCAAGTCACGGGGTGCTTTGGGTCCGCCTCAGTGGGCGAGGAAATGGGGTCGGCAGATAGGTGAGGGAGGACCTTGTGCTTCAGCTAACCTCACAGGGTTGGGAAAGGGCTACGGATGGGATGCAGGGACCCTAGTGGGCTCACCACAGTTCCTGACATAAGTGAGGAAGGGCCCGGGAGAGGGAAAGGTGAAGAGTTGTCAGGAGGGACAGGGCAGCTCAGAGGAGGGCACAGAAGAATTTCTTCTCCCGGAAAGGGTTCTCCGAAGTGGGCACAGGGGTGATGAGGGGATCCTCACAGGCGTGGGCATCACAATAAGTCATCAGGTCTGCTGCTGCCTTGGACACCTGGGGCACAGCCAGGAGGGGGAACTGTTAGCCAGAAACCCTGAAATGGACTGCAGCCGCCCTCCCCAAATGGAAAATCTTTTGCCATCTCTAGGGCTCCTTAAGACAGTCTTCTCTTCCTTCATCACCCACAGAGACCTGGGGCCAGCTCTCCTTACAGATCCCAAGACGACTCCTGTGATCTCACGGAGTCAATGAAAGAAAGCATCTCTTATCCTGAGGTTTGGGAACCTACGGTACAGGCTGCCAACTACTGGGATCCAGGGCCCCACCCACCTTTATCCGGCACAAGCTGGCTTCAATCTTAAGCTGTTCCACCATCTTGCGGGCTTGCCCAATACTCATAGTGCTGTTCACAGGGGTCTCCCCTTTCATCCTGGAGAAGAGAGCTCAGAGCATGATAGGGGGCCCTGCACAATCTCAGCTGAAGGCCCCCCTCTGTGCTTACTCCTCATCAACCTTTACAAGGGCGGGTCATATGCCCGAATATTTTACTCCCCTCTTATCCCCAACCTCCGTGGTCTTTCCCATTCCTGTCTTCCTCAGCTAAGGAAATGGAGAAGCGGGATGAGATGCTCCCCAAACTCCTACATGGCCTGGGCCACAGATCATTAAACATATAAATGATTTAAGGCTTCCGAGCCCTCAAGTTATGTGTGTTCCCAGCTCTGAAAAGCACAACTAGAAAGAGGCCCGCCCTAATGAACCCCCACCTGCCCCCTTGAGCCCCAAAGGGAGAAAAGCAGGATGCTCGCTACTCACCTGAGGCCACGGGCAGCGACAGTCCTGGGGAGAAGGATCGTGGTGTGCACCAAAACCTTCTGCCTGAGATGGGTGCCCCACCTTGCAGGGAGTTGCAGCTGAGAGTATCTGACGCAGCAGCACAAGGCCACTGGGGAGGGTCAAGTCAGAGGCCAGTGGAGGGCTGGTCCCAGTTTTTGCAGCTCCAGCACTGGCTGTTACCTGAAAGATGAAGGATGCTAGAAGGAGCTGCTCAGATCCTGGCACATACCAACTGTCTGGCCAGTGGGGGAGCCTGGCTGCTGCCTGCAGCCCCTGTGCACGCCCCCACTGTTACTGTCTCACTACCTGCCCCTCCCGCATTGCAGGCATTCAGAGTCTGGGCTAGAGACCTCCCCAAAGGAGCTGGAAGTAGCTGAGTCCCAGGTAGATTCCCCCCTCAAATGGGGTGGTCTGGACCTGTGACAGCCCCTGCAGTGGAGTCAGTACTGACTGCGTGAGACCCTGCTCATTTGAAAATCTGACATCAGCTGGGCAGTCGCCCCCTCCATCCCTCCTCCCTCTACTCTGACACAGCATTTAACACCTGAATCTTCACTTCTCTCCCAGGGACCCTCCATTCCCCATATCCTGGAAAATGTGATGAGCTACAGGTATCAGCTTCTAGATCACCACTTTAACGTTCTAGCTACAAGTACTCGAGCAGAAGATCCAGGGGCAGCGAGGTCCATCAGGAAGATATCTAAAGAAATGGCAGACCAAAGAGAAGAAGGAGCAGCTGGGGAAAGAGAGGCATGCAGAGATCAGATCAAAGAATCGGACAAAGACGAGGTAGAGGGGAGAGTCGGTGGGTGTTTCTGGAAATAGATGGGCTTCCTGGGTGTGTGTGTGTATTGGCTTGAGATTGCCTCCCATGTCTGCAGTGTTGTGCTTGGTGCTGTGAGATGTACGCAAAGATGTACACAACACTGATCCTTCTGAGGGATCTTATTTGGGGTGAATAGACATATACAAAATAGAAAGTGCCACCCGCCAAAACCTAGTCTAGATAATGCGCTGTGGGGACTCTGAGGGAAAGTCTAGTTAGGGTCGGAGGAGGTCGATCACGCATCGTAAAAGCTGGAGACAAAACACGGGCCTGAAATGCTACCGCTCTTGTGAATAGGGGACAGCCAGCCCGCTGGCGCAACGCGCAAGATGCACAGGTACCCGCAGATTGCAACGTTCTCGGGGCGAATGCTCTCTGCCTTGGAAACCCACAGACCCACGGAGCTGTGGGCAATGAAAATCAGCGCCAGCTGGATGCCCGCCTCTCCCCCTCTTCGGGGGTTAAATGGCGGATAGTGAAGGTGTGGGCGGAGGGCCGTGATTGCGGCCTCGAGGGGCGGGCTGAGGGATCCTGCTGACTCATATCTGGAGCATATCTTGGGGCCTGGAGGGAGGCGCCTGTCCCCTTTGGTTTTGGTATCCGGAGGGTAACGGATCGCAGGAACGGACAGCGCCGGCGCGAGGAGGTAGGAACTTGGCGGCCCGGAAGGCCCCGCCCCCTGTGCCGGGCCCCGCCCCAGACGAGCCCCGCCCCCAGTGCTACAAAGGGGGGCCGGCGAAAGGGGGAGGGACTTCCCCGGGAGGCGGAAGTGCCTTCTCGCGGTTGCCTGGGCAGTGCGCGGCTGGTGAGTCTGCATCCCTGTGGCGGCCCGCTGGTAGGTTTCTGTGTTGCTGCGGTTGGGTGGGGGCTCCGGGCGCCGCGCCCACCGCCGAGCCAGAGGGAGCTGGCGGGGAGCGGCCGTTGGCTGTAGGACGCCCTGCCTGGAGTGGGGCGCGGCCCTGTCTGAGAGCGACTGCAGCTCCAGGAGGAGAGGAGAAGCTCCGTAGGGAATTGTGGCTGCGCTGAGGTTGCTGGCTTTGAGTCCGGCTGTGCGACCTTAGGCAAGTCGCGCGTGCTCTCCGTGCAGCCACCTCGCAGTGTGGAATCGTGTCATCGTGTGTGTAAAACCGCCTTGGAAGAATTTTAAGGTGCTTATCCTCTGTATGTTACGTATTACTATGAATGCCTGTCAAGGTGGTTGTCCCAGAATCAGGTGACCCGAGGATGGGTTCAGCTGAGGAACTCTAGCACAGGTGGTGGAGAGAGCACAGTGGAGGAAAGGAAGGGATAATTGGCTGAGAAACGCAGTCAATTGGAGAAAGGCCATATGAAACAAAGACTTTGCTATGTCTTGCTATCCCTGGTTCCTCAAAGCCAGTCCGGTAAGCTTGTCCTTTTTGTCCCCACCTCCCCCGTGAAAAGAGCCATTCCTTCCCCTTCTCTGTCTTTTTCCAGGAACCACCAGCTGCTTCATCCCATGGCCAGGGGTGGCGTCCAGGTGGCAGAGCACCTAGGAACTCAAGGCCTGAACCCGGGGCCAGACCCCCTGCACTCCCCATCATGGTCAATGACCCACCAGTACCTGCCTTACTGTGGGCCCAGGAGATGGGCAACGTCCTGGCAGGCCGTGCCCGCAAGCTGCTATTGCAGTTTGGGGTGCTCTTCTGTACCATCCTACTCCTGCTCTGGGTGTCTGTCTTCCTCTATGGCTCCTTCTACTACTCCTACATGCCGACAGTCAGCCACCTCAGCCCCGTGCATTTCTACTACAGGTGAGAGGGGTCTTCTATCAAAGTAGAGGAATCCAGTGAGAGAATTGCTGCAAGGACCCTTGGAGCTTATTCAGGTCAACCCCCTTATTTACGGAGGAGGACACTTGAGCCCAGTGTGCTTATACTGATTTCTTTCACAGCCCAAGGTTGGAGCAGGTCTGGGCTTGTAGGGCTCTAGGGTCCTAGTCCTGTCTCTGGTTACTGGAATCTGGTTAAAAAGAAGAAAAAAAAAATCCCTCTCCTAGATTGTCATTATGAGGGTCAGTTCAATTTAGGCTGGATCAGACCTCTCTCAGGGCCACTGTAGACTTTTGAGCCAACCCAACCCCTTGGGTCATCTCAGAACTAATCTGGCCTTCAGTAGAGGAGGTATTAGGAAAGCAGTAGTTTGCCTTTTACATGACTTCTTCCCACTCCCGGATAGTCTGCTGCAAGAGAATTTATGGAAACACAGGGTGTCTGGGTGCATAAACTCCCAGAGTCCTACTTCCCTACTTCTTGCCTGGGGCCTCAATTCCTTCCCATTTTACAGACCCTGCCAAATTCCCTCCCCTTCTTTTTAATTTTATTTTTATTTTTTTTTGCGGTACGCGGGCCTCTCACCGTTGTGGCCTCTCCCGTTGCGGAGCACAGGCTCTGGACGCGCAGGCTCAGCAGCCATGGCTCATGGGCCCAGCCACTCCGCGGCATGTGGGATCTTCCCGGACCGGGGCACGAACCCGCGTCCCCTGCATTGGCAGGCGGACTCTTAACCACTGCGCCACCAGGGAAGCCCGTCTCCCCTTCTTTTAACAGTGAGCACAGGACCAATCAAGAGGTGCTGACAAGGGCAGTATTATCAGTGGTCCAAAGTTGTTTTTTTTTTTCCCCTGTCCTGAGTCCGTGGTCATGAGCTGTAATTTCTAAGGCAGAGCTGCTTAAACTTTTATTTATTTTATTTTATTAATTAATTTATTTATTGGCTGCATTGGGTCTTCCGTTGCTGTGTGCTGGCTTTCTCTAGTTGCAGCGAGCGGGGGCCACTCTTTGTTGCGGTGCGAGGGCTTTTCACTGCAGTGGCTTCTCTTGTTGTGGAGCACAGGATCTAGTCACGCAAGCCTCAGTAGTTGTGGCACACGGGCTTCAGTAGTTGTGGCTCACAGGCTCAAGAGCGCAGGCTCAGGAGTTGTGGCACACGGGCTCAGCTGCTCCGCGGCATGTGGGATCCTCCCGGACCAGGGCTCGAACCCGTGTCCCCTGCATTAGCAGGCGGACTCCTAACCACTGCTCCACCAGGGAAGCCCTGCTTAAACTTTTAAGAGGCATGATGGCCTGGCCCCTGGCCCAGGTTCAGCTTATGAAAGCTATGGCCCTTCCTGCCATAAAAACCTATATATATGCCCATGTGCAATTTTGCCTACAATTCAAAGGGTTCGTGAGCCTCTTAAAGATCATCTGTGGATCCCTTTGGAGGAGTTTTCTCAAACTAGGCCCCAGACCAGAATTCCTAAATCAGAATTTGGAGGAGTGGGACCCAGGGATTTGCATTTTTATCAGCTCCCCAGGTGAGTCTTTAGAAAGACTTAAGTCCGAAACTATTCAACTAAGTGTCCATAGGTTCCCATTTAAGAATGTCTGCTCTAATGAAAGGAAATAAATGGAAGTAGCAGGAAGAGAATTAAAGACTCAATCTGTTGTCTTGAATCTCCTGGCTGCATTTCTTCTCCATCTGTCTCTATAACAGAGAAGCGTGCCCATTCTGGGAGGAGGGATGGGGGATAGGAAAGGGAGCCCTAGGGGCCAAGGAGGTGTGTGGACAAGTAAGGCAGACTCTATAACTTAGCAGAGTATCATCCCCATTCTCATTTAGGACCGACTGTGATTCCTCCGCCTCCTTACTCTGCTCCTTCCCTGTTGCCAATGTCTCACTGGCTAAGGGTGGACGTGATCGGGTGAGTATGGGAGCTGAAGAGAGGTTTCATTAGGGCTTTGATGACTTGAAACAGGAAGGCTTGAGGAAGACCTGGATGTCAGGGACCGAGTAATAGAGACTAAAAGGAAGGCTTTCAGGGAAAAGGGAGGTTAAAGAAAAATTAAAGTCCAAATGAATTGTGTGGATTATTCTTTCCTCCTTCTTAAATTGTTTCAGCCAGGCCATATCTACTAAATGAGGTGTATTTTAGATCTAAATGAACCTAAATTAACAGATCAGCTATCTCACAGAACTAGGATGGGATCCACCCAAGAGTTTTGAAAGTATGTTAAATTATGAAACCGTTGACAGATATGTGTAAACTGCCATTACAAAGGGCACTGTGCCAGAGGACTGGCCAAATGCCAGTATACCTTCAACAAACCTGGAAACCCTGGGGAATGCAGAATGGGAATGCATCCTTCTCTGTTAGGCAAGCTGCTGGAGGCTCTGAAAAAGGGTAGGATCCCAGAACACTTCAGAAGGATCCTGGAGGATCAGGAGCGTTTCTGATCACCAGAGTTTTCTGAGTTGTCAGCAATGTAATAAGAAGTCATCAGAAATCAGACTTATTAAGAGTTTAAATACCATTTGAAAATGATTTTTCGAAAATTGTACTTGGGAGGATACTGACCTAAAGATAAACACAGGATAGAAATAAATGGTCACCCTGAAGGGAGGAGTGTAAGCTGTAGAGTCTGGGGCCCCCTGGGGTTGACCATACAAATAACCTGGGAGACTGTGTGTCCTGTATCCTGTGACATCTTCCAGTTTACTGCCAGGGTAACACTATCCAGAAAGCTTACCAGGTGGGATGAGTGGATCCCAAATGGAGATTTCAAAGTGGTGAAGTGGGGAAGGGAATTCCCTGGCGGTCCAGTCGTTAGGACTCCACACTTTGACTGCCGAGAGTCCAGGTTCAATCCCTGGGGCAGCTTCACAGTGTGGCCAAAAAAAAAAAAAAAAAAAAAAACTGGTGAAGTGGAATGTTGGGCATTGTAAGACAGGATTATCATTTTAGTTCTGCTACTCAGGAAAGTAACTTGGAGATTATTATAGAATGTTCTGTAAAAACATTGGTTCAATGTGTTTTTGTGGCTTAATAATAATAATAAATGGAATATATTGAGAGGGGAATAGAAACAAAGCCACAGTACGTTTGCACCTGGGATGCTGCATGCATTTGTGTGGCTGCCCATTGTAGATCATAATGGTTGGTGACGCGAGGAGCCTAAAACAATCGGGTACCAGGCTGCTGGATGAGGAAGGAATGGAAGGATGAAGGGTGAGGCCCGAGTCCCTGATAATTAAAGCAGATTGATCATTTCATTCATTTCTAGTGAGCATTTTTGAATGAATGCATGAAATAATGGGTCTTCTCCGTGTGTAACACCTTGTTTAGAAATAGAAGATGTGGTCCTGCTTTCAAGGAGCTCACAGGATTGACAGAAATCTATACATTGCATTAAGTAGCAAAGATGCAGATTCTGCATTTCAGAAGAATTTGTGAAGAATTAGACAGGTGTGAGACTATGGAGATGGTGAGGCTCAAAGTGGGCCTTTTAAGGAAGGGTGAATGCTGCGTGGGAATGGAGGAGAGGGAGAACCCGCCCATCAGGCAGACAAATGCGAACAAAGGCAGGACTCATTCACAAGATTCTGGTGTTAGATTTTGTGGATGCCCTTGGAGGAGATGACATAATTACTGGTTTAAAAAGAAAAAAATATATATATATAAATCTTTATTGAGGTATAATTCACATAGTGTACAAGTCACCCTTCAAAATGTACAGTTCAGTCGTTTTTAGTATATTCAGAGATGAGCAACCATCACCACAATCAATTTTAGAACATTTTCATCACCGCAGAAAGAAACCCATACCCACTACCTAGCAGTCACTCCCCATTTCCGGCCTGCCCACTCAGAGAACTACCTATTTTAATGTTTCAAAGAATTCAGTGAAGCAACTGGCTTAGATTCATCTGGCCTCTACAGGCGGGTAGGAATCTCATGGAATCCATTTTTGTCAAGACGTAATTCAGACCGAAAATAAGAATCTGTATAAAGAAAGACTTCGATCAGTGTTTTTTCACCTATTACCCTACGGATAAAATGCTCAAAGTACCCTCATAGCCATATCTAGATTTTGGAGCTAGTACACTATTAGGGTTAGGGGAAAGTTTTTTTCAACTTTTTTTTTTTTTTAATCCACTCCCTCTTTGGTTAAAACCAGAAGCTTTACCATCACTCCTGTCATCCTTATGTATCACCCTAAGGGGGTCATGCATAGGACAAGCATAGCTGAATATAGGATTAGAGGAATATAGGAACAGTCAGGAAAAACTAGGGTATGTTTGGTGGCACATCTTTAACCTTTTGAGGTTAATCCCAGTGAAGAAGACTTCCTGTGTGAGTCTCAGGGTTCTACCAACAGAACCAAGATAAAGGACTCAGAATGACGTAAGATGGTCTTGAGTGACAATGACTGTGTGACAGCTGGCTAGGGAGATGGTGAGCACTTCTGGCACTCCGTTAATTAATAATGTAAGTGAAGGTAGGCTGGGTCCGGGGGGATGGCCTCACGGGGACAGAGAGACCTGAGTCACAGATGGCCCAGTTGGCAACATGACGGTTCACTTTTGGAAGAGAAATGTGACACAGCCTTTCTCGAATAGAGTGATTCAGTAGAGCAGACAGGATACTGAAGATCTCAGAAGTGGGAGGGATCCAGCCACCAGAAGGGGGCAGCACTTTCTTGGGACCAGAGAGATTGAGAGGCCTGTTTTGAGAGCGGAGGGTTGTGGCAGAGTGTTTCGAGGGGAAGGGGGGGAGGTGGCACAGGGGCAGCGCAATTAAAAAAAATTTTTTTTGAAAGAGATGGGGCTACCTTGGGCAGGTGCTGATGTATGGACAGCCGTACCGCATTACCTTAGAGCTTGAGCTGCCAGAGTCTCCTGTGAATCAAGATTTGGGCATGTTCTTGGTCACCATTTCATGCTACACCAGAGGCGGCCGAATCATCTCCACCTCTTCACGCTCCGTGAGTGTTCATTCCTGGCCTGTCTAGGAGGGTGTGGAGAATGATGACAGATGTCAGAGTATCTGGGTAGGGCTTCAGGAGAAAACATCCCAGCTCTGAAGTCACAGACACATCAGGATAGGCAAGAGGTGTCAGTTTACCACACCAGACAGACACCCCCTAACATCTGATGAGCATGGCCAGCTTTGGGGTAAAGTCTGAAGAGTAGAGCCACCCTGAAAACGGGGGCTTCTATGGAGCCAGGCAAGCCTGGCCTCGAATCCTCACTCAGAAACATGCTAGCTGAGGGGCAATTTACTTAACCCCTTAGTTATGAAGTACTATAAGTGAATATAGTAGTAACTCCCTCATAACAAGACTAGTTTGGATTCAATGAGGAAATAATGGGTGTTCAGTAAATGTTAGACTCCATTCTTAATTATCAACAGAACCATATCATGAAGCAAATCCCTGAATGTCCACATGGGGGAAAAAGCTTCACATGGTACACTGGAACATACAGTCTGTTCTGGATTATAGAACCATTTGGGGGGAAGGTAGATCAGAGACAGTGTGGGGCTTCACCTAGGAGGGTTTCTTAGAAAAGGGGGCTTTGTTGTATTGGAATAGAGACACGTGGCCGGCTAGGGCAGGGCAGGGATGTCATTCAAGTGTTTGCGACGGTTGGGTCAAGACTTGGGTTTTGGGGGCATGGTAGGAAGTTAAAGTGAGGGAGCAGGGACCGGGGAAGCAGCAGCCTTGCTAGCCTGCTCAGGGGTGGTGGAGGGGCGGGCAGCCGTCCCCAGCCTCTCCCTCCTGGCCCTGGCAGGTGATGCTGCATTACCGTTCAAACCTGCTCCAGATGCTTGACACACTGGTCTTCTCTAGCCTCCTGCTGTTTGGCTTTGCAGAGCAGAAGCAGGTCCTGGAGGTGGAGCTGTACCCAGAATACAGGGAGAACTCGGTAAGAGGGGAAGGAGGACTAGGACACAGCCCTCCCCACAAGCCCAGGATTTTACCTGAGGAGCTTCTGGGCTCGGTCAGGAGGGACAGCAGTAGAGGCCGGAAGCGGGCCTCAGGTTGGCCTGGTAAGAGTGACAGCGGCAGGATCCCGGCCTGATGGGCTGCCACCACTGCCCACCCGCCCGCAGTATGTGCCGACCACCGGAGCCGTTATCGAGATCCACAGCAAGCGCGTCCAGCTGTACGGGGCCTACCTCCGCATCCACGCCCACTTCACTGGGCTCAGGTGGGGAAGCGCCGCCGTGACCTGGGCAGCTCTCGTGGGGCCGTCCTTAAGTGAAGAGGGTCCTAAGCAGAGGCGCCGGCTTTTACGGGTTTTACTTAGGCCGCAGACTCTCAACCCTGGCTGCACGTCAGCATATCAGGTCCCTGGGGAACTTTAAAAAGACACTGATGCCTGGGCCCCACCCCAAGACCAGGATTTGTTAGGGTCATACCAGGCCGTCAGACCTTTTGAAAGCACCCCAGGGAAAGGTCATGTGCAGTCAGTGTCGAGAACTGCTCTCTTGAACACGTCGGCTCAGTGGGCGGGAGGCAGGGGATGCAGCCCAGCTCTAGCCAAACTGGTGAATCGCCCTAGAAGTTATTTCTGGGAAATGAGAAGGCTGGTACTCCCTGGTAGCTGCTCCTCCCCTCCTGTCTGCTTCCTGCTTCAGGTACCTGCTGTACAACTTCCCGATGACCTGCGCCTTCGTTGGTGTTGCCAGCAACTTCACCTTCCTCAGCGTCATCGTGCTCTTCAGCTACATGCAGTGGGTGTGGCGGGGCATCTGGCCCCGACACCGCCTCTCTCTGCAGGTCGCAAAGGACCCCTTTCCTCTCCCCGTCACAATCCTTCTTTGGGGAGTGGGCAGGAGCATGTTGGGGGCTGGGGCTGAAGGGCCCTGATCACCGGTGAGGGAAGGCAGTCCTTGCTGCTCAGGAGTTTCCCCCCCTACAGGTAAACATCCGAAACAGAGACAGGTCCCACAAGGAAGTCCAGCGGAGGGTCTCTGCCCATCAGCCAGGTAAAGGTGATGGCTGGGGGCTGGGTGAGGAGGCTCCTGCGCCATCCAGTATGAGGCTTTAGGTGCTCACATACCAAGCTGAAGGTCACGGCAAAGGCTGAATGGGGTGAAGTTGGCACTGCCATCCAGGCGCAGCTGCCCTAGCCCTGCCCTGTCCTCTACCCCCTTTGGAGGCACAGGGCCGCAAGGCCGGGAGGAGTCCACTCAGCTGCCGCCCATTACAGAGGGTAGTGAGAGCCGGGCAGACCCCTCGGAGCCAGGTAAGGTGCAGCAGCCCGACCTCCTTCCGGACTCCTCTCAGCCCTCCCCTTCAGCCTCCTCCAGACTGACCTCTGCCCTCCCCCTGGGGCTGCAGAAGGCCAGCTGTCTGAGGAGGAGAAACCAGATCAACAGCCCCTGAGTGGCGAGGAGGAGCTAGAGCCCGAGGCCAGTGACGGTGAGGGGCACTCTGCAGCAGGACCTGGGTGGACTGGGGTTGGCCTGTGGCTGGGGAGAAGGCCACGTTGGGTTGGGTGGGGGCAGGAGCCCCTGGTCTGGAATTTCCCATTTGGGATTTCGTTTCTCCTTCCCCTGGCCCAGGTTCAGGCTCCTGGGAAGATGCAGCTCTGCTGACGGAGGCCAACCTGCCTGTTTCTGCCCCTGCCCTTGCCCCGGAGACCGTGGGCAGCTCTGAACCCTCCACAGGCACTGTCCGACAGCGCCCCATTTGCTCTAGTTCCTGAAGAGAATAGGGCAGAGTCCCCACACTCCAGCCCTCTCCCCCCCCCCCAATCCCTTTCCCTTTCCGGGGCTCCCCCAATAAACTCTTTTCATGCCAGCTGCCTCCCTGACTCTGAACTGGATTCAGGGCCATTTGAAAACGTGATGTTCCCCAGGCATCCCCCACCCCGATTGGAGGAGGTTGTCTTGTCAGGGGCTACCGATGGGGAAGACCTCCAGACCCTGGACTGTTTCAGGCACAGCTGTTTCCATTCATCAGCCTAGGACGTCCAAGGAGCGAAAACCTGCCCACTCCATCCACGTGACTCTCATCTCCCTCTGGGGAGGGGGATAGCATAGGGCGGGTCTGGAAAGCTGGGATACATCATTCTGGCCTCCGTACCCCTCCCTTTCTCAGTCCATTGGGAGGCAGAAGACAGGAAATGACTGCCATGGATGTGGTATGATTTTTTACTGAAACAGCATTTTGTAGCCCAGGCCCCATGCTGTCCACAGCTGTTTTTCTCTCTGATACCAGCCAGGTGGCCCCGTCCTTTGTGTTCCCCTCCTCACCCCCTCACATGACTTCAGCCTTTGGATTCTCAGCTCCTGGCAGCTTTCCACATTCCACTGCTCTTTCAGAACCCAGGCATCCTGGCCTCCAGCTGAAACCGCTGCATGTGGCTTCCCCCACCCCTGGCCCCGTGACTCAGGCCCTCTGAAGGGACCAGCCCTCTTCTTGGCACTCACTGGGGAGGGGGGCAGGGGAAGGGGGGCCAGGTGGTGACATCACAGTTGAGGGGTATAAAAGCTTTGAGCCAAAACAGAATTGAAATTGAAGACACTGAGAAAACCTGACTGCGCAGCCTGTGCTCCTGGGGACCTCTTAGGACCCCCGGCCTGCTACTCACTGCATCAAGGCCTACCCACTGGTAAGGTGCTGCCTGTGAGTCAGGGAGGTGGGGGGCAGGCAGGGACAAGGACTGACAGGTGGGGAGGGAGGGTTCCCGGGCCTCTGTGTCCCATCTCTTCTCTTTTCTCACCTCCATCTCCTTTCTGGGTTTCTGCATGTGTCACTGACTGATCGATACTTTACTTAGACGGTTTCTCTGGGTGGCAGCTGGGAACTACCGCACCTTCCTTCCCCGGGCTGCGTAAATCACTTGCTCCTCTTCTCCCCTCAGCACCCAGTTCATTCATCAGCTGTTTCTCGCGCTTCATGCACTGCTGGTCGCACACTTCCCTCTGCTGGGTCAGACGACATTTTATTCTTTTTCGCCCAAAACCAAGCACATAGGCTGTTCAGAAGTTGGATGACAAAGGGGTGTATCGTCTCATTTCCACCTCTTTCCTGTTCTCCTCTCGGTCCCCGTTCGGTCGTGTTTCCCTGTCTCTAGAGCTTTTGTTGAGGGAGGGGGGCCTGCAAGGTGTGAGGGCTGGCCGGCCTTCACCCTTCCCCCTCCTTCCCTTCCAGACCCCATGCCGGGAAATCCCCGCCTTCTGTGGCTCCTGGCTGTCACCTTCTCCTTGGTTCCCAGAGCGCAGCCCTTGGCGGGAGACGCGGAAGAAGAGGAGCAAAATGAGACACCTCTGCCGGCTGTCCCCTGCGACTACGACCGCTGCCGCCACCTGCAGGTGCCCTGCCAGGAGCTGCAGAGGGCCGGCCCGACGACGTGCCTGTGCCCCGGCCTCTCCAGCGCCACGCAGCCGCCCGACCCGCCACGCCTGGGGGAAGTGCGCATGGAGGCCGAGGCGGGCCGCGCCGTGGTGCACTGGTGCGCCCCCTTCTCCCCGGTCCACCAGTACTGGCTGCTGCTTTGGGAAGGCGCCGGGGCTCCGCAGAAGGGGCCCCCCCTCAACTCGACGGTCCGCCGAGCGGAGCTGAAGGGCCTGAAGCCCGGGGGCGCATACGTCGTCTGCGTGGTGGCCGCCAACGCGGCCGGGGAGAGCAGCGTGCCCGGGGCCGAGGGCCTCGACGGCGCGGGCGGCCCCGCCTTCGGGCCCTGCGGCCGGCTGACTGTGCTGCCGAGGCCACTCACGCTGCTGCACGGGGCCGTGGGCGTGGGCTCGGCGCTGGCCCTGCTCAGCTGCTCCGCCCTGGTCTGGCACTTCTGCCTGCGCGAGCGCTGGGGCTGCCCCCGCCGAGGCCGCCCGAGCGGCGCGGGACTCTGAGGCCGCCCGGGGGCCTCTCCGGCCAAGCTAAGCCCGGCGCCGCTCCGGGGGAGGTGGCGGCCCCCGACAGACGGCGGGATGGAAGGCCGGGCGCTGGGCCCCCACTGAGTCGGTTCAGGCCCCAGACTTTCCACTCTGCCCCGAGCTTAGGTTTAGGAGTAGAGGAGGTCAGCAAATTTTTTCTTAAGGGACCAGAATAATTTAGGCTTTGTGGTTCCAGGGGATAAAATCGAAGATATCATGTAGTTCTTACACAACCATGTAACCATTTAAAAATGTAAACATCATTCTTAGCTCTTGGGACTTACAAGTCAGGCCCTGGCCAGATTCGGCCCGTTGGCTACGGTTAGTCTACGTCTGTCGTACAGCCTCAAAAGGGCCCTGCCACTATGGGTGGCTTCCGTGGGGTTTTGAGAATAAGCTGCTGCGGTATGGGAGTTTGGGGCTAGAGACCACTCCTTCTCCTTCTGCCTTTTTGTTTAGATAGTGAGGATGCGCGCTGAGTTAGAATCTGCCTGTGTCTGAGGCAGGTGGAAATAAATGACTGACATGGGGTGGAGAAGAGAAGGACTGCCCAAGCTGCTGTCTGGGACAAGCTTGCGGTTTTGGTAGTAAAATTATAATAATAATAATACAATAATAGCAAAGGATTCCCCCTCCCCCATTTGTGTTTATTGTATATTCACTGTAACAACATTAAAGGAGATGTAAAAGGAAAACATTTTCAATTTTCATGATCCTTTTCAGTTCCTCGTCCACACACCGATTTTTCGGAGTAGTATACATACTTTCGAGTTATTTTTAAATTAACTGGATGTAGAAAAGTCGAAGTTGCTACACAGTTTATTCCTCACTTTTACTGATCTTATAACCTTTTCTCAAATTATAAAAGTAACGCATACAAATTTCTGTACTGAAGAGGGTGAAATGAAAGTTCCCCTCCTCCTCAAGAGGTAGTTGCCTGTAGCAGAGCAAATTTTTCTCTAAGCAATGCAAATATATTTTTTTCATTCAATATATTATGGACAATGTTCCATGTTGGTAAATCACAGCCTCCTTAGTTATGTGAAAGGCATAACTTTCCACTGGAGGATGCTCCTTAACTGGCAGTAGCCTTGGCTCTTTGTTAGAACATTTGTCTTCAGCGTTTGCTATGGACATCCTTGTTTGTTTGTGTATCCTCACATGTTTGTGTACTTCCATAGGGTACTTACTTGGAAGTAGGTGAGAGAGGTAGTACTATACAATTTAATCATTCTTCTATTATTGGAACTCTAGAATAAATTTAGAACACATTTGTTATTTTGAATACACTCACCACATTGCCATGAATACTGTGTCTTTTTAATCTGATTCCTGTATTTCTCAGCATTTATTCATTTACAAATAATGAGGGCCTACTACCTCACTTTTTTGTTGTTTTTTTTCCCCGTACTTTTTCTTCCCTACTGTCTTACTATTAAAGACGCGCTTTACATGCTTTCGTACTTAATCTCTATCACAGTCGTTCTAAGAGATGGTGTCACCTTTTCACAGATGAGAAGTTTGAGGTTCTAAATGGTTTGAAGCTATTCAGTACAAATAAGGAGGTGAGTTAGGACTTCTCGACGCAAGTTGCCCGACTCCATAGCTGATGATCATTCCACCGCAGAGAGGCAGCACAGCCCAGCCGTTCCAGCACGCACACTGCATGGGTTCGAATCCTAGCTCTGCGACCTTCGGTAAATTATCTCATCTTTCTGTGTCTGTTTCCTGTGACTAATAATAGTATCCACATCACATGGATTGTTGTGATGATTAAATATGAATTAACCGTATAAAATCCTCCAGTGCATATATTATCAATATCAGCAACTTATTATTATTCTGCCTCCTAAAAAACATTTAAAGTGAGCTTTAACTTAAGGGACCCAACAGCCTAGGTAGTGGCGGCAGGCTAAGTAATCGACAAGACTACACACCAGGGGGACAAATGCTAATGGAGTAAATACCGGGGCTGGGAGATGGAGAGGGGGTGGTCAAGGCAGGCTTCCCTTAGAAAGCACACCCAGGGACTTCCCTGGTGGTCCAGTGGTTAAGATTCCGCGCTTCCACAGCAGGGGGCGCAGGTTTGATCCCTGGGGACCTAAGATCCCACATGCGTGCGGCCAAAAAAAAAGGAAAGAAAAAAAAGAAAGCAAACCCAGGGTCCAGTCCGAAAAAAACGACTGGGAGTTAACCAAGCCCACAGAAAAGGCAGGACATCCCAGACACAGAGGGACGGGTATGTGCAAAGGCCGGGAGGAGGGAGAGTTTTGCAGTCTGCACAAGTTACCCTCAAGTGGTGAGAGATGAACCCCGCACCAACTACCAACATTTACACAGTATAGTCTTGCCAGGCACCTAAGGTTGGTGCTATTGTTATCCTCACTTTACAGATGGGACATCAACAAAAGAAAGGGTAGGAGGAAGCCAGACTACCAGCATTTAAGTTTCATCCTAGGTGACTGAGGTGTCATGGAGAAATCTTAATCAGGGAGCTGATGACAGGATCAGTTATTGTGTTTTGCAAAGATCCCTTTGGCAGTAGCGCGGAGGATAGCTCAATTGCCCGAGAGGACGAGCAGATCAAAGGGTGTGCACATTTCTATGGCTCCTGATAAACACTGCTAAATAATTTTACAACCGGTTGCGCTAAGGGGCCATATCGGGAGCTGTCTTGATTCGCCCAAGGGTTTCAGGGCGGCATCGCCCTTCTACACCGCTGCGGGGCACCCGGGCTTGGGCGGGGGAGTGTGAGCTGCCTCCCGGGCCGCTACTCCTACGCCCCGCCTGTCCCCTCAGCGCCAGGTCCTGGCAGCCGGGCCAGGCCTGTGTTTTCTGGCTCTCTGCGGCACCCATCCACTTCCGCCTCCACGTGACCCAAACAGATTCGGGCACTTCCGCTTCCTCTAGGCTTTCTTCTCGTCGGTGTCCAGGGCCGGTCCGGAGCCAGTGAGTGAGCGAGCGTCCGGCTGGGGCCGTAGGGGGCGGGTTTCCGCACCGGCGGGGGACGCCCCGCACTGACCCTCTCCGGCCTTCTCGTCCCCTCCAGGTCCCCGCGGAAGCGGTGGTGGCGGCGTCATGGCGGAGCTGACGGCTCTGGAGAGTCTCATCGAGATGGGCTTCCCCAGGGGACGCGCGTAAGGGAGCCCCCTAACACCCGTCCGCGGGGGTCGCCGACCTGTCCAGGCCTTTACCCCAGCCTGGCCTCAGGCTCTACGCCCCAGCCTGACCATCGCCATGGCTCGTGGGCGCTATTCACGGTGTTTCTGCCCCCAGGGAGAAGGCTCTGGCCCTCACAGGGAACCAGGGCATCGAGGCTGCGATGGACTGGTGAGCGCTCAGACCGGGTAGCAGGTGACTGGGGACTCCTACGATGGGCAGCCTGAACATTAACCTCCCTCCCGACTTTCCCTGCCAGGTTGATGGAGCATGAAGACGACCCAGACGTGGACGAGCCACTAGCGACCCCCCTTGGACATATCCTGGGACGGGAACCCACACCCACTGAGCAAGGTGGCCCTGAAAGTCCTGCTGGAGGGACCCAGTGTGATTATTCAGGAGGGCCTGAGGAGGAGGATGAACGGGTGATAATACTGATTGCTTGTTTGTAGGACCTGAGTCTGTTGTGGGAGAAAGCAAACCCGTTTTGACTGAAGAGGAAAGACAGGAACAGACTAAGAGGTATGAAGAACGAGCTCACATTTCTGAGGCTCCTCCTCCACCTCTCCCCAGAGGTGTTTGGGACTGTGTTCCCGGATTCTGTTTTCTGAATCCCTTGTTAATAAACACACCCTCCCAATGTATGTCCATTTCTCTTGAACTCTTTCCTCTGCAATACAGGATGTTGGAGCTGGTGGCCCAAAAGCAGCGGGAGCGTGAAGAGAGAGAGGAGCGGGAGGCACTGGAACGGGAACGGCAGCGCAGGAGACAAGGGCAAGAGTTGTCAGCTGCCCGACAGCGGCTACAGGAAGATGAGATGCGCCGGGCTGCTGAGGAGCGGAGGAGGGAAAAGGCTGAAGAGTTAGCAGCCAGGTCTGGGTGCTGGGGGTGTTGGCTAAGAGATGAGAAAGGAATCAAGATTTGCATTGTCAGTGTCTGACCTACTTTCGTTCTGTCTGCATTCCAGACAAAGAGTCCGAGAAAAGATCGAAAGGGACAAAGCAGAGAGAGCCAAGAAGGTAGGTGATTGGGTACATACTGAGGGTCATGAAGTAGGGGGACTAGTAAATCCCCTTTTCTAGCTTCAGAGGGAAGGGTTGGGCTTAGTGCCTGATTGTTTAACTTTGTCCTCCAGTATGGTGGTCATGGGGGTTCTCAGCCATGCCCACCAACAACAGAGCCAGGCCCCGTTCCCTCCTCTCCCGGCAAGGAGCCTCCCACGAAGCGAGAGTATGACCAGTGTCGCATACAGGTACTGATTCTGATTCCTGTCTTGCTCCTGGGACCCTTTGTTGGCTTGTAAGGCACCCAGCCCAGCCCAGAGCTTTTTTCAGTTACGTTCCCTTTGCCAGACCTCTCCCGTCTTTGTAAATGACTTTTGAAATCCTACCTCCTCTGCTCTTAGGAAAGATATCAAATTTTACTTGCCCCAGTCTTATATAAATCTATGTCTCTTTCATATTCAGCAGTTAACTTCTTACTTGTTCATCGTATTTTCATTTGGCTTATTTTACAGCTATTTGCACGATGTGGTACCTATCCAGATATTTTGTGTAACCTTGTCTTTGTTTTCCTTAAATTGTGAGGGAGCTAGGAGCCTCTCTTTTCAGTGTTCAGTAAAGCCAAGCCTAAGTGGTTGTTCATTAGCTGCTTTAAATAGTAGTTATGCTGGTTCAGTCTCTCTAAGAGGAAGGAAAAGCCAACTTTGCTCTTTTCCTTTTCCTTACATGGGCGCTTCACTCAGTTTTGACACTCACAATTCTGTATTTCTGTCTTGCCTTCCAGGTCAGGCTGCCGGATGGGAGCTCACTGACCCAGACATTCCGGGCACGGGAACAGCTGGCAGCTGTGAGGCTCTATGTGGAGCTCCACCGTGGGGAGGAGCTAGGAGGGGGCCAGGATCCTGTGCAGTTGCTTAGTGGCTTCCCCCGGCGGGCCTTCTCAGAGGCTGACATGGAGCGGCCTCTGCAGGAGCTGGGTATGACACGTGGGACCTGAAACCAGGAGGGGGATAGGGGACATGCCTGAGAAAGGAAGGGATGCAAAGAAGGGACTTTGTGGATATAGTGTGAGGCCAGGAATTTGGGGGGGCGGGGAGGGTGGGCAAAAAGCAGATCTTTTGGTTCAAACCTGTTTCGTTCCATCTTCAGGACTCGTGCCTTCTGCTGTCCTCATTGTGGCCAAGAAGTGTCCCGGCTGAGAGGCCTTTATCCCACCATCCTTCTCTGACCTCTCTTCATCTTTGATAAAGCACTGACATTACCTTCCTAATAAATAGACCCTCTGAGTTCTGTATGCGACTGACTCCTTCCTGAATGGCCGGGAGGGACAAAAGGAAGGCTTTTAGAACAGACCCTATGCTTCCTCTTAAATTTCCACGGGAGACTTGTTTCTAATCTCTGGGTCTGATGAGTTGCTTGGGAGGTTGAAGGGGAGAGGTGCTGGAGTGTGGGGTGTACGTTGGATAGCATCTTTTGCTCCTATGGGTAAGGCAGTACCTAAGCCTGAAATCCTTAGTAGCTATGTGCCTTGACTTCTTTAATTAAGCCTAGTTTCCTCTTTAGTAAACAGGGATAACAGTGCCTGTTAATTGGGGTTGTGGGGGCTTACATAATGCTGATGTAAGGTGCTTTGGCACTGTGCCTGGCACCTGGTAAGTCCCCAATTAAGTATTAGCTAGTAGAAGGGTAGTTTTTAAAATGTGGCCATTCGGGCTTCCCTGGTGGCGCAGTGGTTGAGAGTCCGCCTGCCGATGCAGGGGACACGGGTTCATGGCCTGGTCCGGGAAGATCCCACATGCTGCGGAGCAGCTGGGCCCGTGAGCCATGGCCACTGAGCCTGCGCGTCCGGAGCCTGTGCTCCGCAACAGGAGAGGCCACAACAGTGAGAGGCCCGCGTACTGCAAAAAAAAAAAAAAAAAAAAAAAAGTGGCCATTCACAGTGAGAGGAGCCATAGTGTGACCTTCACAACTGCGTCTCTTCTGCACTAAAAAGCATTGAGACTTAATATATACCACACAGTTTTAAGTGCTTTGTATGTATTAACTGAGATATGAAGGCAGTATTATCTAGCTGTAGGTACAATGATCCCATTTTAGAGATTGGGACACCAAAGCATATGACTTGTCCAAACTGACACAGCTAGCAGGTAGCAGAACCTGGACACATCTCTGGGGAGCGTGACTCTAGGGCTCATGCTCTGAACTGCCAAGCTCCCCTTGCGCTGCTGCTGCTCACCTCATCCTTGTGCTCCCTCAGACAGCTGCTGACCTCCCTCCTCTCATACCCCGACTAGGAAAGAGGCCACAAGTAAACTGTAAAGGTCGCACATGACAAATGTGCTCAGCTTACGACTTCACCATCTAGTAGCTGAAAACCGCACCAATGCTCATATCTGGGTTTACACCTCAGTGTTACCAAGCTTTATTTAGTGTGTTCCGGCTTTATTTAATACAAGCAGGCCCCCCCATCCCCCATCAATTGCAATCTTGTTTGGAACCACAGGACATAAAATAGACAAAAGGGGAGTGAAATGGTTGATTTCGCTGTAGGGCGGCCACCCCACTGATAGCTTTATCTCATCCCATCGGTGGCATCGCCAATGGATCCTGTGATGGATTCAGAAATTGAAAGCCACTACAGTGAAAACCTTGTGGGAGGAAAACCCCAGTGCATTTAGTGAGAGGCTGCCCTGTGCCTGGCACTGCACTTTACATTCCTAAGTTCACCTTTTTACAACTCTCAAGATAATTGTCACCATTTATTTATTTATGTATTTATCTGCACCAGGTCTTAGTTGCAGCACTCTGGATCTTCGTTGCAACATGTGGGATCTCTTAGTTGCGGCTTAGTTGCGGCATGCGAACTCTTGTTGCAGTACCTGGGATCTAGTTCCCTGACCAGGGATCGAACCAGGGCCCCCTGCATTGGGAGCATGGAGTCTTAGCCACTGGACCACCAGGAAAGTCCCCATTATCACCTTTTATGGAACAGGACTAAGGCTCAGAGGTTAAAAACATGGAGGAGTTGAAACAAGATCTGACTCAAAGCACAGCCCTTTGACCGCTCCTACCACGAATTAAGGTCCCAGAAGGCATTATGGCACATGTTAATTGCTAGAAGCCCCTCTCCAACCTCATTCGAAGGACAGGCACCCAGAGTGTCCTCTATGGGTATTTACTGCACAAGTTTCCAGGATAACGATTTCAAGAACATCACTTGGTTATCCCCGAAAGTACACTCCCGCAAACCACGTGACCTGACGTGTGTTCTGAAAACGTGGTCGCTCTGCCTATAGGGCTTCAGCGTCACATGAAGGGCGGGGCAGGCGGGAGCTGCACTCAAGCCCGCCCGCAGCACTGACCCCCATAACACTCTAGGCTTTTATGGGCGTCCAGCCGCAGTGCTCACTCTCTGGATGGAGGAACATGATTTATTGGTTCCTTCAGTTAGCCACATCCGATGCCCTGGCCCAAGACGTGGACGTTAAAACACAGTCGGTGCAGGGTTTGAGGGGGAACGTGCTCACCCGGCGGCAGCTCCCCAGGTCCCGAAGAGGTCTGCGCGTGTCTGGACTCCCCGCCGGCCCACAGAGGAGTAAGGCCGGCTCGGGCTCCTGCGCTGCAGCGGAGGTCCCGGCGCGCACGGGGGCAGGTCTGGCCTCAGGCTGACTTCCCGCCGCCGCCACTCATCCAGTTCTTTCTCCAGGCGACGTTCTCTTGCGTGGCCGCGGCCTCCTGCAGAGTGGCCAGAAGTAGCTCTTTGGTCCTGGCCACCTCGTTCCTGCGCTGCGGGTCCTGCTCCGGCATCTTCTGCGGGCAGAAAGGGAGGTTCGTAGTCCGGGCTACCAGCCTGCGGTTCTCCGCCCGCTCGCCCCACCTCGGCCTCCCAGCCGCTCACACCTTTGGCGTTGCCTGCTTCTGCCGCTCTCCCGGGGTCACGAGGACAAAGAGCCCGGTGCCCACGCCAGCCCCCACGCCCAGCACTGCGCCCGCGATCAGCGCTTTGCGCAGGGTCTCCATGGCCGACCGCGCGACCAGCGAGACGCACTCCGGGGCCTCCAGTAGCCTAGCAAGGCCGCCGCGACGTTTCAATCTGCGCAGGCTAGAACGCCTCACACAGGAAACCATAGAGACGGGGCCGGCTAGAGAGGGCCTGGCCAGAGAAACGTTTCGAAGCTAGAGCGCCTGGGTGTCAAGACTAGGTTTAGCTGAGGAGGTTGACCACGTCAAGAGGTGTTGGCACCCAGGGCCGAGCGTGGGGCCCCTTGTCATGAAATCCCGAGGAGGATTGCTAAGGGGAGAGTAAGTGTCTTCATTGTTGCTGTGGGCTTTACAATTGCCCAGCTCCGGAATGTCCTGATCAGTAGAGGGTCAAGGCTGTGCTGTGCTTTTCCAATACAGTACATAAGGACATTCAGATACTTATAAACATCAATCTATTGACTGCCTTCAATCCCTTCAACTCCTGAACAAAAACTCAAAGCCAAGTGTACCGGGTGGGGAGAACGGTATATTTATGTTTTCTTTTTATTTTGCTTGTTGAAAGTAAACGTTACCTTTCTCTTCACGGTATATAACCTTGTTTTGTTTTTTTTTTAAACCATGGATTTTGTGTAACATACCGAATTCTAGTTTGGAGAAGAAAACACCTCTTAGTTGTGTGACCCCGGGCAAATCGTTTAAGTTCTTTGTTTCTTGGTTTCTGCATCGGAAAATGAGGCTAATAACAGTATTTATCTCATAGTTTTAGGATAATTAAATAAGTTTATACGAAAAGCATTTAAAACAGTTCCTGGCAAATAGCATACACCATAAAAATACTCATTAAATAAGATACAAAGAAACATGTCAATGTGGGAGACCCAGTAAGAACCAGGAAATTCCAAGTTTGTTATCAAAGCTCTTCACTCACAGGGCTTTAATCCAGATGCCCTCGTTAACTCCTACTTCTGCCTTTCCCAGTGTCACCAGGGAGTGAGTAGAAATAAAGCCCCTATTCCACCTCTTGGGATTGTCCCCTCCCCTGAAAGGCCTATAATCTCCTTGCATGTCAGCCTCTTCTCCTCAGAAGTGATAAAGGGGCCAGGCTCCAAAGCAGATTAAAGGAACAGTCTGTGGGGTGCTCTGGGCAGGGATACTCCACTGAGTTCAACCACCCTGCACTCCAAGAATCAGCACGCATGGCCCTTGTGCCAGGGAGCAGCGAGGATGGGCCTTGGCCTCGAGATGGCCCAGGCTCCTCCCAGCAACCAGAAAGTCCTAGACTCACCAACCCTCTCTGGGAGGACAGAGGAGAAATTGGCCAGGTTGAAGGTCACCAGGATGTTCAGGTTAGTACTTCCGCACCTTGTGTCTTGCTGTTGGCTCATTCTAATTTGGCCCAAGCCCCCTGCTATGCCCATCCAGGTTGTCTGTCAAAAGACCCGCCTCCCCTCCATCGTGGTGGAAGCCGCTGAGGCTGAAGCGAGTGAAGAGAGTGGGGAGCTCCGGTGGCCACACAAGGAGCTGCAGCTGCTCACTGATGATGAAGAGGACGTTGAGGTGTTCCAGGACCAAAGTGAAGAACCAGGTGAGGGAGGTGGCTGGTTCAAATGAGGCTGTTGTGAATGGGATGGTCTAAGCAGGACAACTTGGTTGTGTCTCTTGCACTAAGCAGCACACAGTAGGTGCTCAGTAAACACGGTGAAGAAAAATGTAGAGGTGGGAGATTAAAGTCAAGGTGGGGCTTCCCTGGTGGCGCAGTGGTTGAGGGTCCGCCTGCCTATGCAGGGGACACAGGTTCGTGCCCCGGGCCGGGAAGATCCCACATGCCGCGGAGCAGCTGGGCCCGTGAGCCATGGCCGCTGAGCCCGTGAGCCATGGCCGCTGAGCCTGCGTGTCCGGAGCCTGTGCTCCGCAACGGGAGAGGCCACAACAGTGAGAGGCCCGCGTACCGCAAAAAAAAATAAAAAAAGTCAAGGTGGTTGGCAAAGTTGATGAACTTTAAAAGGCAGTTGTGATGTCAGGTGACACCTTTTAATATGTATTTTTAATACTTTAAGATATTTTTGTCATGGGGGAAAAGAATAAAATCACCCCAAATCCGACTACCCAGAGATTAACATTTTGGATGCCTTCTCCTCCAGCTTTTTCTTCATGTCTATATACTGTTACAGAAGCTACTTTTACTATATGCCAGGCACTGTGCTGAACACTTTTACGTATATTTTTCAGGACCCAGTGAGGAAGGATACTTTCTCCCTCATGAGGAAACTGAAGCTGTTAAGTTAGGCTCTTCATTATAATTGCTGTATTATTTTTATAAGCAAAAGAAATTACATGAATTTATCTTAAAAAAAAATCCAGTAATATATCAGGTATATTTTTCACTGTTAATGGGCTCTTTAACTCCCCCCCTCCCACCCCCCAGGCTGGACTTGGAGCTCACTGGACCCCAAATCTCCCTTAAGAACCTTTAACCCAGAACTCAGCTGGGGGCAGGAACAGGTAGATCAAGATGCCTACTGGATTCCAGAGGAGACAGATTGTCAGGAAGCCCCCAATCCCTGTCCTCTCTGGGACTCGGCATCAGGTTCCCATGTGCGCAGAAGCTGCTTTGTGGAATATTCCCATTTCCTGCCTCCCAGGAGCTTTGAGGGTAAGTATCACTCTCAAACATTTTACCTAGGTTTATGAAGCCCTTCTACCTATCCTTTCACAATCTTCCCCTTTTACAAGCTGAGAAAAATGAAGCCTTACAGGTTAGGCCCCTGGGTCACACACAAGTCATATCCAAGGAATTTGGATTAAGAATTCCTATCTGTGCTTTTAGGAGTTCGGTTAACTGGGATGGGGAATGACCCACTTGTACCTTCTTTATTCAGCGCTCATCTTGTGCCTGGCACTGTAAGTATTTCACCTGCTGTTGTACGGAATCCACATAACTCCAGGTATTACTCCAGCCTTGCAGATGAGTGAACTGGGGCACAGAAATAGTCAATACTGTGTGCACACAGCTAATAAATATGAAAGCCCGGATCCAAATCCTCATTTTCCAGTCATCTTGCCAAGACAAAAGCTTTCTCCAACTCCTCACCCAACAGAAACACTAGGGTCAGGTTTTAAAAGTCTTTAATTGGAGCTTTGAACCAAGTAAGCAAAGTAGGTGATGCCCCCGAAAGGGCCCAGCTCCTGCACAGACACAGTGCAGCCTTGGGACCCTTGCTCCAGGCAGGGCAGCCGCACATCAGGGTCCTCATCTGAGAACTGAATCAGGGTCCCGCCAGGGCTTAGGACCCTCAGGCACTCTGACAGCAGCTGGTAAGCCCCAGGCAGACCAGCCTGGGCAAGAGCATCCCAGGTACCCTTGTCTAGCACTAGATGGAAAGAACCTGAGGAAGCCACTGGCTGCAGGTTGAGGGCATTAGCTTGCATAAAGTGGAGGCGTGAGGCAGGGTGCCCCGGGCACAGGGGTGTTTGGCCTTGGCCACCTTCCAGGAGGCTGTTCATGTGGGCCACCGCCACAGGAGAGAAGTCCACCCCCAACACGCCCACTGGGTGCGGGCATTTGGTGTAGAGGCCTGTACACAAGCTGGAGGTCCCACAGCCCACGTCCAACACCCGCGGTGGACAGGCAGCTGGTGCCTCCTGCAGCAGCGGCAGTAGGAGCCCCTGGGCTTCCTCGTATCCAAAGAACCAGTCGAAGGTGCCCGCGCTGCCCTGACGGGGCTGGGCGGGGAGCTTATCCCAGAGGCGGCGGTACGCCAGGCAGCTACCAGCCAGGGAGCCTGTGGACGAGTGGAGGACTTGCGTCACCCAGCGCCCAGTTCTAGCAAAACGCGACAAAACCCGCACCAATGTGGCCTGGGCCTTTAAGCGGCACAATTTCAGGGACTAGACTCCTGTGTAACGAAGAAGCCAACTTGCCCTCCCTCTGTCCACCTTCCCTACCCGCCACGGCGCGACGCACCCCCGCCGCCAGGCTCGCCAGGTGGAGGGTTCGGCGCAGGGCTGCCATCCGGAAGTGACGGCAAGGTCGGCCAGAGAAACTTCTGCGAAAATGTCGCCCGTACTCCGGCAGGGGCCTGAGGTCCAAGGGAAGATTTGCAAAATACGCTGTGAGGAATCACGCGTACAGCCTCCCTAACTCTGCAGCCTCGGAGAAAAGGAACGCGGAGACAAACTTACTACGGTACGAACGGCTTTTATTGTTTGCAACGGGAAGTGGAAGAAGAGGGGATGCGAAAGCTCCGGCTCCTGGGGCGGCTCCACAGACCTGAAATCAAAGGAGAAGGTGTGAGCACCCCGGGGAGGAGTCCGCTGAACCTCGGTTCTGCCCTGCTCCTTGGAGCCCTGTGTCCCGGCGCTTGAGGATAGAACCCGCGGAATGGAAGCCGCCGGTACCGAAGACATGACGCCGAGGGGGCCGGAGCCCTTTCCCTCTACCTCCGTACATTACGCGGACCGGGACCGCACGCCCGATCCCCGCCAAGAAAAGGAGGGTCAACAGGCCCCACCCAGAAACCCCGCATGGCCAGCCGGTGAAAACACTGGAGCTGACACTCACTCAGTCGCTGTCCTCTGAAAGGCCAAGGAGCCGCCCGGGCTCCTTTATATAGCTCCAGGACCCGCCCCCCCCCCCCCTCAGCTGCGATTGGCTAACGGAGGGCTGAGGGGTGGGGCGCACACGGACCCTGCGCAGAGCTGAAACGCTGGACGCTGAGCTGGTTTCGCAACGCAGCAATGGGTGCTCCGGGGGGCAAGATCAACCGGCCGCGAACGGTGACTGTGTGGGAGCCCGACCCTGTTTCCCAAGCGTCCTGGAGCCTTTACCCTCGCCCGAGATGGACTCGATGGGCCAGTGTCGCCGGGTGCGGGGTCCCGGGTCGCGGTGCACGGCACCCCTCTGATTAAGCATCTTCCTCTCCCTTAGGAGCTGAAGAAGAAGCTGTTCAAGCGACGGCGGGTGTTGAACCGGGAGCGGCGACTGAAGCACCAGGTGGTCGGGGCTGTGATAGACGAAGGGCTGATCACGAGGCACCACCTCAAGAAGCGGGCGTGAGTGCCAGACCCTCTCCCTCTTGGTCCTCCCCACCATGCCTCCTTTCCTCTTCCTTGTCGAGCTCCGGAGCAGCTAACACCTTTTTGCTTTCCTTGTGTACTCACGTTTATGCAAGGAACGTTTGTGCTTAAACTCTGCTAGTCTCTCACTGTACCTGTAGCTCACAACCTTTCTTTGGTTCTTGGACTCTGATGAGAATCTAAGGAGAGCTGTGGACTCCCCCACCTCCCCAAGTAACATTATTCACTCGCACAGATTATTTATTAATTTATTTATTTTGCGGTACGCGGGCCTCTCACCGTTGTGGCCTCTCCCGTTGCGGAGTACAGGCTCCGGACGCCCAGCCGCTCCGCAGCATGTGGGATCTTCCCGGACCGGGGCACGAACCCGTGTCCCCTGCATCGGCAGGCGGACTCTCAACCACTGCGCCACCAGGGAAGCCCCACACAGATTTTTTTATAAGTACATTTAAAAGCGCACACATAAGTGTGCGGCGAATCATTCGATGAATTTTCACAAGGGCACATGTGAGATTTTGCATATAATCTAGTTTTGGGGCAGAGTTCCCACCCCATTCTTTCATTGACTTGTTTATTATAAATATTTAGTTTATAAAGCGGCATAATAAATATGTTTGGTCCTTGTCTCTGCTTTCTGGCAGAGCTAAATTTCCTGAGTGATAAGAGTGACTTTTTGTTCATAAGGATCCCCTTTTGAGCACACCTAAATTTATGCAAATGGTGACTTAGTGTGGGGCTGGTCATCAGAAAGATGAAGTGATTAGAGGATTGGAAATTTAATTCCCTCTCACTGCTTGTGGGAAGGGGGTGGGTGGGTGTTGTAGATTAAGCTCTACACAACCTCTTGAACCAGCTCTTGATTGGTCAACTGGTGGAGGTACTGGGAGGCTGGCTCACCTGGAGAGAGCATGGAACCTCTGGCCCCTTCCATACCTTACCCTATGCTTCTCTTCCATCTGACTGTTCCTGAGTTGTATCGTTTTGTAATAAATCAGTAAATGCAAATACATGTTTCCCTGAGTTCCGTGAGCTGTTCTAGCAAATTATCGAGTCTGAGAAGGGGATCATGAGAACCCCAATTTATGACTGGTCAATCAGAAGCACAGGTAACAACCTGGATATGTGATTGGCATTTGAAGTGGGGGAAACCTTAACCTTTGGTATCTGTTGCTATGTCCTGGTAGATAGTGTCCAAATGGAGTTAAATTTGTTGGACACCCAGTCAATGTCCATTGAGAATTTGGAGAATTACTTGATGTGGGAAACCTCCCCCACCCACCACATCTGCTGTTAGAAGTATCAAGAATAAGGGACTTCCGTGGTGGTCCAGTGGTTAAGACCAATTGCGCTTCCAATACAGGGGGCATGGGTTCGATCCCTGGTCAAGGGAACTAAGATCCTGCATGTTGAATGGCCAGAAAAAAAAAAAAAAAATGTGAAAATAGATATATATATATATATATATATATATATGTATTTATATATTTATAAAATAAGAGGAGGAAACGTTTCTATTATGTACTAAATTTTAGCAATTAATGTTACTTTATGTATGTGTTAAGACTAGTTTTAGGTAAAGTAACAGTTCTTTGACTTGGATCCAAAGACCTTTTCAGTAACCAGGACCACTGTGTGGTCTGTATTGGTTCAGGTTAACCTGGATATTTTTGCTCTTACCAATCCTTCAGGTCCAGTGCACGTGCCAACATTACTCTGTCTGGGAAGAAGCGCAGAAAACTCCTCCAGCAGATCCGGCTTGCCCAGAAAGAGAAAGCAGCCATGGAAGGTGAGGCGAGGGCACAGAAGCTGGGGTGAGGGGGCAGCTGGGTTCATTTGGGTTCTTTAATGCTTCCTCTTTCCCTTTGCTCAGTGCAAGCCCCCCTCAAGTCAGCCAAGACTAGTGAACCACAGCCCAAATCAAAAAAGAAGACAAAAGTCCCCCAGGATGTAGACATGGAGGACCTTGAAGATAAGAGCTAAATGTCACACCCTTCCACCAGAAGATTCTCAGCTGGAGCCAGGAGGACTCGATGGTTATTTCAGAGGACTTTGGAGAAGGCGTTGCTCCTTTTCACTGTCCCCAGATTCCTCTTCCCTAATGGCCTAGTGACCTGCCCTGGAGGGATGTATTGAGAGGTAGAGGGTAGAAAAGAAAGATTGGAGAGGGGGTCCTAAGCAGTCAACTCCATTTGTAAAAAAGCCCTAGCATTCTCACTGAGATGTGTGTGATTAAATGTAGGAATGGGGATAGGCCATGAAAAGGGGCTGTGAGTGTGGAAACAAGACAATTGGGAAACAGGACCCACAGTTCTTACTTGACCAAAGGCAACAAGAAGCCACCCTCCATGATGGCCCTGTCTCCCCGATGAGTGACACTCTATCTTTCCATTTCTGACAAAAATAAGGTGTTCTGTAGAGATAGCAGAGGAGGTAATGGTCTTGATACTGGCCCTACCACCTCCTCTGTGTGACCAGGGTGGACAAGTGACCGTGGTTGTCTCTGCTTTCTTTGCTGGATTATATTTTTATAAAGTGAACATTATTTTTCCCTTTTAACGTTCAGAAATTCTGTTTGTTGGAAGCCAGGGCTGGGGTGGTTAATTAAAGTGAGAAGCTGTGTGTGCAGAGATGTGGTCAACTGGGGAAAAGCATA